TATTTATTGTTTGTGAATTTAAGTGACGTTTGTTAACTAAAAGTGGATGTTTTTACATATTTGGACAGTTTTTCAAGTGTTTGTTCTATAAGGGGCGGCTGTGGTAGAGTGGTTAGGGGGAGTCATCCTGGAACRYGAAGGTCACCGGTTCGATCCCRGTCCAGTCGACTCAGTCATGGTGTCTTTGGGCAAGACACCTTACTCGCCTGGCCTACTGATGGTGGTCAGAGGGTCCGGTGTCGCCTGTGTATGGCAGCCTCGCTTCTGTCAGTGTGCCCCAGGGCAGCTGTGGCTACAATTGTAGTTTGCCATCATCATGTGTGAATGTGTGTGTGCATGGGTGAATGTCTGCAGTGTGAAGTGCTTTGAGTGTCCTGGATGGATAGAAAGGCACTATACTGTATAAGTACAGTCCATAGGTCCAAGATTAGTAATGTGATCATTAGCTGCGGGATTATTTTGATTTTACTATGAAGCAGATCTGGCAACCTGAGAGGCCCCTTGGTAGCAATAARGCTTGGATTTTATTACTGAAGCAGGATTGTGAATGATAAAATATTTTATTTATTCATTGTTTTAACTCCTTTGTATCTGTTCGTAGTGGGACTTTTGTCTGTTCACAAATTATAAAATACAAAAGTATTTTTTAAACTTTTTTCCCTGTTCCTGTTTATTATACGAAAAAAAAAAGCTGACCGAGCATATGACTGTGTAACACAACATAAATAACTTTCTGGGAAAATATAATGATTAAAAATGTTCAGTGATGCTGCAGCTCACTGCAGATGCATAAAAGGCGGCGGGCGAAGAGCATCCGGTGCTCGTGAAGGGCCAGTTTTGGTGCAGGATCTCTGAGTTTATTGCAGCAGCAGGTTTTCCTCCAATAGATTCAAAGTGAGCGCTCTGTCCGACAATAGAGGGCCTGGAAGTGGGAGGATCAGCTCGGGAGCGATCCTTCTGGCTTTGTTACGCCTGGGAAGCCATTTTGGAATCAGGCTTGTTGTGCTGTAGCAGGAGCAGCCGCTTGCTACTTGCAAACTTTCCAGTCTTTCTACAAGGAAACAAGGTGTCGGGTCTGCGTGTCCGCGGTCTGTTTAATCGCCTCAGAAGATCCGGGCGGAGGGATACTGGTTCGCTGCTCGGATTAGATTCCTTCCTATTCCTTTGGATTTTAAATTATAATAACAACATGGATTCTAAACACGCGGGCAAGTCTACCCAATAATATGATTTGTAGCTACTATACGTGTGTTTATTTATTGTAAATATTTGAATTATTTGGCTATAATCGGTTCTTGCTGCGCTCCTTTACCGACAACTAATTTGACAGCGAACGTAATAGGCCTTATTGTTTTCTGTGGTCCTTTTTTTTTTTTTAAACCAATCCGCTTAAATATGGACCGTTAAATGTATTATTTGTATCATTACTCCAGGGTAATAACTAGTGAGTGTTTTTATATCGAGATGTGTTAAATAAACACGCAGCGAAGCAGATGATTTGGGCACGTCGGTGTGCGTCGTAGTCTGCGCAGTTATCCGAAGACATCCAGCGCCAAATTTAGCTCCAGGCAACGTGAGGACAGTAGTGGCTTCTTACATGTTACTCTCCAGTCAGGCGTATGAAAGTAAACCTGTTTTATTTTAAACTGCGGTCGTCTGGAGCGCTCTTYTGACGCTAGGTGGCTCGGCTCAGCTGTTGGCACGTCGCAGGTGTTTTGCGTAAAGGACGCAGCAAAATAACACGTCCTGCGTTGAGGTGAGCTGCTTTTGCGTTGCATTTATCTGTCGTTGTTCAGTTTATCTCTGCATGCATCAGCTCAGTTACTGCACGAGGCTGTTGTTGTTTACTTCAGCGTTTGCACAAGTTGACATTTGGAGGAAATAGACTAATCCTGCTTGGCTTTGGGCTATTTGATTCTCTTTATCCCTGTTTTGGCTTGGAGACCTGAGTGCAGATTTTATTACGATTATATGCTGGGATTTTGGTAGTGGCTTTGTTTTTTATGGCAAAAGGCTATCYTGTATTGTTACCAGCCTGATGTGGTCACACTTAATCAAATTCAAGTGTATTTGTTTTTGTTCAAAACTAAAAACATTTTAGGTTGGTTGATGGCAAAAGTAGTTGGAAGCTCGATCAAACGTAAATTTGAAGCTGCTTCTTCTAACATGACCATAAAGAAGAATTAGCACCTCTTCAAAACAGWTAGTGCAAAGAGGATTTATTGCAAGATTGCCATGTTTGGATTAGATATAGTTAGGCATACTGGGAAGTTGTGAGTCTAACAGCAGTTTTGTGTTTGCACAGCCTGTTCACATAGAGTAGACAGTTTGCTCTCTGAGAGGCACAACCCTCAGGGCAGTTGCTTCCCGCCCATTGCTTCAGATTCTGCCCCACCCCTGTGCCGTTTCCCTGGGCTTTCATAATCCTAAGCTGACTCAAGACACTGCTGTAGGACTTGCTGTCCTGGTGGTTAAGTCTTTTGAACAGAAGAGGATCGTCCTGTCTCCTTCAGCCTTTTTTTCCCCCCCTCTCAGCCGAGTTTGGTTTTCCCACCGGTGGAGAGGAGGCAGGTAGTTTGATTGATTCTTCACTGGTGTCCGAGTCTTCTGTCAGCCAGAACCAGCATGGAAGAAGAGGTTAGCCAACTCTCACCCACAGTGGCGTTGTTGTGTTTCTGAGGAAAAGGAATGTGTAGAACTTCTGACTGCAGGCTTTCTGACAGGGTTCTCTAACTGAGGCGGGAAGTTGGCCAAGTGTGATTTACAGTTTGTAATATCTAACAGAGTTTTCAGTCAGTTCTCGATGTGCTGATTAACTTGGCAGAAACTGAGCYGAGCAGTTTTCCCTCCGAGAGACAGACTGAACAAAACAGTGCATGCCTTATGTTTGTGTTTTAGACATTATTATCCTCCTCCTGTCATGCCAGCTGTGACTAAAGGAGTCCTTTTGCCTTACATCCTGACTTTTTCAGTCTAATCAAAGAAGAATGACCATGGATTTTTCTCAGCTGCATACATATACGCCTCCACAGTGTGCTCCAGAGAACACCGGCTACACTTACTCTCTCAGGTGAGACCTCAGTGCTGCGCTGCGTTAACACCAGAGCTGCAGCATCAAACAGTCAGGTCATTGCATTCAGTACAACACAGTAAATGTCAGTGGTGACTCAGAGCAACACAGATGAACTCAGATCAATAGAAAATTCACGTAGAAGTTAAACAATTTTGGGATCAGTTTCCAAATATACTTTTAACAAACAACAACACTTTTCAAAGTCAATCCTAATAGTACACCGCTAATATAAAATTATGATAATAACTGTATAATAATAATGCACCAGTAAGAGATCTTTACAAGATGGTGATATGACTAAGCAGCTATGTGTTGCCACAATGTGCCCGAGGTTATTTCATTCATTAATATTTTTGTGTCTCTTTTCTGTTTTGTGTTTACATAAAGAGCTTTACCACAGTGAAGCATCACGTGGTAAAGATGTAGTTTGTTTTAATGATTTATTTCTCTCAACTGTTTTAGAGTTCTGATCGTACAGAATATTATCTGACTTTGTTTTAACTTTGAAAACTTGTGGTTTTAACTTGTTAGCATCACAGTTCAGTTTGGTTGTGTTTGGGAAACGAAATCCTCACAGATTTAAAAGAAGACCTTTATTTACGTATGCAAGTTTTTATAATTAGTACTATTTATTTAGCTGAAAACCAGTCTTGGATTACTCTTCATCATGTCTTTGGCTCTAGGCGTGGTCAGCACCTGATCAGGAAAGTCTGTGCATGTGGAGGAATGTTTCTTTCAAAGCTGTCACCATTGCCAGCAGCCATTAGAACCAGAGAAAGGCATTTGGGTGTGTAGGTGAAGAACTGAATTATTCATTGGTGTGTTGCTCATTTTCTGACTTTAAGGAGTGGAGGAGGGAACGTGTTTTAGAGGCAGAGGCCCCTCATGTCTTAAAGGAAAATTTTAAAGTATCTTGTAAAAGGAAAAAAATCAAGTTTCAACAAAGACCTTGTTAAATTTACTGCGATGTCGTTTAGGAAAGTACAGTCACACAATAAAGTGATGTGTGCACATTCCCACCTTGCTGGAAAATCTGGATTAGTTTCTTTAAGCAAGTTTGTAACAATCAATCTTATCGTTTTTATTTTGTATTTGGAAGCTACATTGATACACAGTAAAAACAAAACGTTGGATGTATCAAGATGTCAACAATCAAAATGCAGGTTAGTTTTCTTCATAACTCAGAGCCACTGTGACTGCACGCTGATTGCATTCTAGTGAAATGAGATGCAGTTTTCTTTGGAAGTCTTTTGCCTATGTGGGCCGAGGCAAATTTACGAACCTACTGGATCCTGCAAAGTAAAGTCAGAAACTAGAACAAGCTAATCGTGTTTCTCTGAACATGATCAGTCGAGAAGCTATTAATGAACCACAGTTACGAGCATGGCCTTGATCCCAGGATTAGACTGTTTATGCTCCTTGACTAGCTTGTTGAGAGATCTGCAGGGTTTGTTTTTTTTTTTTTTTTCATTTGCATCTTTCTGCCAAACCTGCAGGGGGGATATTTATCAGTTCCTTGAAGAAAAAAAAAGTTACAATTTCTGCTGTATTTTTTTGTCTTAATCTAAAGTAACAATACATATTAATAGTACTTGTTCAAAGCTGACTGACTTTAGGTTTTCTGTGTTGAGTGGGTGTGCACGGTGTGGAGTGAGAGCATTGCAGGAACGGTTTGGGTCGGATGACAGAAACGGTTAGTCCATCTGTTGTCAAAACTCAAAAGAGCAGTGACAAGATTCGGTGCTCTGWAAAGCTCCAACAGGCCCTCTGTTACTCTCTGTGTCTATTCATGRAGACCTCGTGCAGCATGGACCACCAACCTTGTATTAATTCAGGTGAAATCCTGAATGCGGTAAGAACAACATTATGAATAAATTCTAATCTTATAAAGCTTTTTAGTGAATCTGCACTGGAAAGATATGATGATAGAAAGGGAGACTTTGGAGTCTTTCACTGTCTTTTGAGTGACAAAAATTAGGCTTTTTAAATACACATATACAGCAAACTTGGCAATGATGAGTGAATGGAAAGTTGCTGAAAATTTGAAGCATTTATATTTCTTGTATTTAAAAGCTAATTTGAGCCAAATAGAAATAAAATCTAAATGCACAAAAGCGTTTTTTAAAATTGCTGACTAAGGTATACATTTAACAAAGTCAGTAATTATTACTTTATTAGGTTTCAAATGATATGTAAACCTTATTTGAAATATTATTTTACAGGGGTAGACATAACCATTGTTTAGGTTGTCTGAGACAACCTATTTTCATTTCGGACAACCAGATCCTGTCTCTTGGTTTGATTAAAGTTCTCTGCCGCGGGTGTCGGTCATTTGTAA